CAGCAGGTTCCCCGTCTGCAGGTGCAGGGTGCTGGCCCGCGCCAGGAGCGCCCCAGCCGCGCGGCTGTCGGTGCCCATGGCAGCAGCCGACGGACCTGGCCCGGCGGCGACGGAGCAGCAGGCGGGGAAGGAGGCCCCCCGTAGGACGCGGCGCCCGAGACCGGAGAGCAGAGCGCGAGGCTGCTCGCCCCGCGCGGCGGGACCCCGGCCTGCGCTCGTGCCCGAGGGAGGCCGGGAGGCTGCAGGGCGGCGGCGGAGCGGCGGCCCGGGAAGGACGCGCTGGTGGCTGCGGCTCCTGCTACTGCGGCCGCCGCGGGAGAGTTGGCTCCCAACTGAAGAGTCGTTTCCTGGAAGACAATGACTAAGCAGAAATCGCGGCGGAGAAAGTGCTTCGTAACCGTTACCCGTCCCGCGGCAGGGCAGGGGTGCGCAGCGACCAGGCTGCGTGGGCGTCGGCCCGCGGGTGATTAGCCCTCGGCCTGTGGCCGGCGTGGCGCCAGGCGGAGGGCTGGCGCACTGCGGAGAGAGTAGAGAGCTGGGGGCGCGCGGGGCGGGGCGGGGCCGGCTGCCTGGGGCCCGGCGCTTGGCAGGGCTCCCCCTGTCGGTCAGAGGGCGGCGCGCCACCTCCACCTAATACCTCAGACTGCGCTCGAGGTCTCACCTCCCAGCCGACTGGCAGTCACGCTGGTTATACTCCTAGATATCTCTTTAAGGAGAAAAATTAGGGACTTCCTTAGTGGCGCAGTGGTTAAGAATCCGCTTGCCAGTTCAAAAATACACGGGTTCGAGCCGCGGGCAAGGAGGATGCCACATGCCCTCGAACAACTAAGCGGGGCGCCACAGCCACTGAGCCTGTGCTCTCGAACCTGGGAGTCTCAGCAACTAGAAAAAGCACGCGCGCAGCAATGAAGACCCAACGCAGCCAAAAATAAAGAAATTTGATTAAAAAAGAGAGAAGTTACTGAGGCATTGAAATACTAGCCGGTTTCAGTTCTCAGAAGCGAGCCTTTAAAGTACAAGGGCTCCTTTCTCCTTCAACTTTGCTTTGCTGCCCACTTACTGGTTCATTTCCTTTCTCAAGGGCTTTTCCCCAAAGTGCTCATTTTTCTTCAAGTCCGTTAATTGAAGGTCTATTGATTCACACTATTTGCTGGCCAGTGTGTGAAGTCAAAGAATAAGGCAATCTCTGCTCTTGAGAAGCTTAAACTCCAGTTAAGCATATGAAACAATGAGTAATAATATAAGGATATTATAGTTTCCAGATGAGTTCAGATTAAAGAGAACGCTTAAACCGGTGAGATCAGGGAAGATATAACCCATGCCCTTACAGGTGGTTGTGATTCTTTACTCCTATTAAATTTCATATGTAGTAGACTTGGTATGAACCTCAAATTTAACATTTATTGAGCATTCCTCAAATTTTTGCTTTTGTTGAGAGTAATCAGATATACTGAAAAGCAAAATGCTATTAAAAAGAGATGAATTCCAGTTAGTAAGAATTAGAGGAGGGGTGTAAGAGGTTAGGAATTGAGCCTGATCTTGAGTAAATATTTGTAGGCTGAATGAAGGTAAGAATTCATTGAAGATAAGGGTAATCCCAGAAGCAGGAACAAACATCGGCTATTTTAATTAATGTAAACATTTGATTCTTATGCTGCATTTCCTGTGGCATCATTTCTTGACTTTTTTCGTATTCTCTAGTACCATGCAAATAATACTTGAATAAAGCTTAGAGGTTATACCTCCTAATCTATTGAACTTACCGCCTTGCTGGCGATTTATATAGCACACTGGTCACTGACATAAACCTGTATGGCTTGCAAATCAGACTTTGCCAGGTACTGGTTATTTTAACTTAGACAAGTCACTTAGTCTCTGTGTTTCACTTTCTCCCAGTCTTGGCAGATGATAGTTTAAACTACATGACATTGCTGATAATTGACTATTTTTGATCTACAGAAATGTCTAGTTCCCATGGTTCCACCTAATGCAATACCTACTACATTGGGTAGGTGTGAAGAAATAATGAGAGAACTTATGAATGCCCTTAGTACAGTACTTGGCTCATAGTAAATGTTCAGTAGGTGAGAGCGCTTAGAACTAACGCCTCTGATCTTTCCAGCTTACAATCCAGTTCTCACAACACTGGCAAATTCATGATGTAATTCACAGCAGCATCACGTCATGTTTTTAAAATTTACATTTTTAGGGGAATTCCCTGGTGGTCCCCTGGTTAGGACTCTTGCTTTCACTGCGGGAGGGCCCAGTTTCCATTCCTGGTGGAGGAACTGAGATCCCGAAAGCTGCAGGGCACCGCCAAAAAAAAAAAAAAAAAAAAAAAATTTACATGTGTGAACTCCTTTACTCTTCACAGCAACTCAGATAGGTAATTTGTTGAAAATCTCAGGTAGTACTGAGTGTTGGGAACTCAGTCAAAACCTAGATCCTCCATCTTCAAACTCCTTACCTTTCTACAAAATACTACAATTTACTTTATGCTACATAAAGTGTAGTTATTGAGGTAATTTTAATTCTTGAAGTGTATGTGCATGGTTTATACGCTTTTTGTGCTTGTACAGCCTTATTTTACAGTATATTATACTTAATGATACCCTTGCCATGACATCATAGTTTTGGGAGTGAAAAGCTTAATCGTCTAAATTTATTTGGTGACAAAAACAGGGACTGCAAAATCAGAAGAATTTTACTATATAGTTATTTTTGAATGAGTCTTTTTTCCCCTTGTCTATGGAAGAGGAAAAAATGTTCAGTATACATTTTGGTTTTAGATACTTGAAAATTCTTCTGCAAATGCCTGTAAATACAGAGAGTCACTAACATTGACTGCCCTGTTTTCATTCTCCTTGACCTTTCCAGGATCTGATACTACTGTCTACGCTCTCCTTTAAAAACCACTCTCTTCGCTTAGCTTGAAATAAACTACACTACATGCGAGAGTTTCCTCACCATGTCTGATCACAGAGCACTTTTAAAAATTATAATGTGTTGTTGGAAGCCCAACAGAGGCTCATGAGCTGTGTTTAGATTAAAACAGACAGCAAGAAAGGTCTCATAAATAAATTGTTGTAGGAAGTGATCACATTTTCATTCATAGTCTATATAAGAACAAGAAAAATTTGAAAAGTAAATTTTATTTCACCTTATTATGGGACCACCTGGTACATTTCATGCTTAATCAGGTAAAATTGATTTAAATTCTCAAATTTTGTTTTAATTTTTAAAATTAGTGTTACCACATTCAGGAGTCACTAACTGGCTCATGGCCGCTCTAGAGGTGAAGGTTTTTAAAAGGATTTCTCTAGGATATTTTTGAAACCCAAATTGTTTGGAAATAATACAACAGTCACTATTTGTCACACAATTTGGAAGAACAGACCAGTGGTTTGGAATAGAAAGAACATGAGCAAGTGCAGAGGAGTGGAAACACCCACAGCATTTTTTGAAGATAGGAAAGGGAGGTGCCTACCTTGAGCAGAAGTACCCCTTAAAGGTGAAGGGAATGAGAGTGTGGTTAATGGAAGACCATTAGCAGCAAGCTGGGGCCTTTGGGTTTAGTTTAAGAAGACTTTGACATTGAGTAAAGCAGAGTCTTGACTCCAAGAAATAAATAAGAAAAAAAGAATCTATATTTAAAATAATATTCATTTACTCAATAGATATTTCTTACGTGTCTATTATAATACTTGTCAGGTGCTGGACTAGGCACTACAAATTTAGGGTGAGCAAAGTGTGACTCTATCCCTGTCCCCACGTAATTTACAGTCCAGTAGAGGAGGCCGACTTTAGTCATATACTTACAAGTAGATGTAAAATTCTACTGTGGTTGTTACTATGAAGAAGGGGCACAAATATCATAAGTCTACAAGTGGTATGTAAAATGGTAGTGGGAGTGATTCAATGCCAAGAGACCAGTGTGAAGACTCTGGTAGTCACCTAAACATAGGTTAGTGAGAACCTGGCCCACGGTGAATGGAGGCTGTGACGATGCATCGAAACGGAATAGATGTGCCTTCATTTTGCCCTAGTTAGTGGAAAGGAGAGAAATCAGGTTACCATGGTGGGGTTAGAAAAACCGATAAGATTTACTTAAAGCAAACAAAGTAGAAAATAAGGCATGGAGAAAAGTCAGAGAGCCAAAACGTAGCAATTAGTCTTTAATGTTATTTTTCCATATCAATAAGAGCACAGAAAAACTGATGAAATCCTAACACTCTCTGCCCCTCATTTATCACATCCAGTTTTCAGGTGCGTGTGCAGTCACTTTATGATAATTATCTATTACTTATCAGATTGTGGATTATAGGATGTACCCAAAGGAGTGATCTATTCGTTCATATAGACAGTATTCCTGATAGTACAGATCAAGTGCCTGGCACGTGGTATGTGCTCAATAAATATTTGTTGAATGAATAAATGAATGAATGAGTGCTATTTCTGATGATTTGTTTCAGAGCTGGGATGAGTGTCCACATATTGGTTATTCTCTGAGGTCACAATCATCCAGATAAATCATCCTCATTCTGCCACTGCTAAACTATTACTGTAGCAGCTGGAACCTAAGGGAAAGAAAGGGCCCAAAGCAATCCCCTCTTTCCCATTCTCCAACCCTGGCCTCACTTCCCCCTGTCCCATAACGCTGCTGGGGAGTCTAGGCAAAGGAGAGGAAAACAGTCCTTTCTAAGAGAGCAGGCAGGTGGGTGATTTCCAATGGGTTATGCCTGATAGAAAAAGGGAAGTAGAATCAGTCATTCACAGGCCTTACCATGCACAGGACCACAACATCCCTGGAAAATAAATGGCATAAATTGATTTATTCAATCATTTAGGAAATCTTATTGAATATCTAACACGTCATCTAAGAACTTTTCTAAGGGATCTGGACTGGCTCTTCAAGATAGAGATGTTCCTTCATTTTAGCACATAAGATGTATAAAATAAAACTTTAAAATGATTTCAAATAATATTTAAGGCTATGAAGAAAATGAAAGGATGTTGTGATGGAGTGTATGGGAGATTGACAATCTTTATAACAATGCCTATAATCTGTTCATTTCTAT